AAAAAAAAATGCTAATTGTGGATGTTGCTGAATAGTAGGATTATAGGCCATTTGAATTTTCCTTATACTTTACATTTTTTTCCATATTTTCTATAATGGACATTTTTTTATAGTCAGGAAAATAATAAATGCTACTTTTTAAAAAGAAAAGATTCTTAGAAGTCTTAATAAACACTTGACTTCTTGATTTGTAACTAATAGAATGAGGTATTAGTACTTATGCATGGTAAATAGCCCAGAAATAACCCCAAACAATGACTACTTTAGAAATTAACCAGTCTCACTCTTCTTCCTCCATTCTTTCATTTTTATCATCAACTAGCTTTTTAAACTGTTTCCTATGGTTGAAAGCCTAGTTCTACCAAAGTAGAAGAGTATAAAATGAATTAAGTCTAAAAGCTTACACCTACACTTACAAACCTGAAATGTTAACATAATAAATTAATAACACAAGCCCCTAAATAAATGTTATGTATAATGATATGTTTTCTTCTTCCTAAAAAGCCTAAGAGCCCCAAGCCCTGTGCTAAATACCATAGAAGTTCCATAACTGAGGGTTGTTTCTACTAGCACTCTCATATGCATATTGATATATATTTAAACATGTCCTAGGAAAAGGTCTAGAAGGCTATACCTTAACATCAAGGTATTCAGTCTCTGGGTTGGTAGAATTATGAATGTCTTCAGGACATTTTTGCTTGTCGATATTTTCAGATTGTCCTATAATTTCCAAGCATAGCCTTTTGTAAAAAGAAAATGATATTTTAACATCATTTTGACAAAAAAAAAAAAAAAAGAAAGAAAGATGCTACCCAGGGCTGTCAGAATTAGTCTCTTTGAGACCTTCCTAACTTGCAATTAGGAAAACAAATTACCAATTATTCGCAGTTTTGAGTTTTAACAGANGAGAGTAGCTGAATCCTAAAGACTTGGCAGATGAACCCAGGGTGCTTTCTACTTAGGGACCTGTCCAGGCCTGGGAATCCGGCTGCGCCTGGCGGCCTTGGGGTTGAGTCTCCTTCTTCCAGGCGCATCTCTGTGGTGAGAAGCTGACCGGGAGGATGCATCCTGAAAACAGTTTGGGCATTTCTTCCTCCTGGCTCACCAGCCCCACGTAAGTGGAAGTGATAGGAAGGGGCGTAGGTACATAGACTGCTGAAGGAGAAGAATGCAGCCGAATTACGCAGTGCCTAGCCAAGAAAAATCAAGGAACAAGAACATGAAAGTGCTAAGAATTTTTGAGGTGAATTTACTGTCAGTTAAATGGCTAGAATCTCACCATCAAAGTATGAAATCATCAAAGGAAGAAATGATGACTTCATAGGTTTCTATTTGAGAATCCCCAGGTAGAAATTTAGAAATGTGAAGTTTGTTTTTTATTCTATCTAGTAATAAAAGATGAGTTGAGAACAGGCTGTATGCTGGACACTTGCTGTTCATTATTTCCCTGAACCTTCACAACTCTGAGATCACCATTATCCTCATTTTACAAAGACAAGAATCTAGGCTTTGAGAAGTTAAGGCAACTTGCCCAAAGTCACATGACTAGTGAATGACCAATTTAAGATTAAACTCAGGTCACCCATCTCTCCAAATTACAAACCATGCAGAATGCAGGTGTATAAATTTTTCTAAGTGCATTGCAATGTATAGTTTAAATGGGTGCATTTTATCTAAATTGTATCCCAGTAAAGTTAACTTTTAAAAATCATGCAGAATGTGATGTTTTTATGGTAAAACTCATCAAAGAAACATCAGTATGATCATTTGACACATGACAATTTCTGAGGGAAAACAGATGGAGGTGATATAAATATATTATTAACATACACAGTGAAAGATTGTTAACACCATAGTCAAGTATTATTCAGGTGACTTTCCCAAACTTCATATACAGATGTATAGAAATATCAACCAGGATGCTACCATAGGTAAGGGACATGCAAGTTTGTTAGGGAAATCAACCAAGCAAACATAAACTTGGAAAAGACATCTGAAATATGTAACATCAGACCTAACAAAAATATGTTCCAAGTACAGGGCATTAAAAAGTTAGATACTTTTGCTAGCGGTATGCGTTAAAGTCACATTTTCTGTGTATAATATAGTGTGTATGTCACTAAGCATTGTGATTATAAGCTGTGCAGCAGAACTTACTGTTTTTTTTTTTGAGATTTTATTGGGGAATTGGGGAACAGCCAAGGTGTTGTCCTTCAATCTTAGTTGTGGAGGGCTCAGCTAGCTCAGCTCCCAAGTCCAGTCACCATCCGGTCGCCTGTCAGAAACTCGCGGCCGCTCAGCTCAAGGTGCCCGTGTTCAATTTTAGTTGCAGGTGGGTGTAGCCCACCATCCCATGCAGGAGTCCAACTGGAAACCTTGTTGCTAAGAACACATGCTGTAACCACTGAACCATCCAGCTGCCTATAGGCAGCTCAGGGAAGTTCACCTCCAGGTGCCATGTTCTAGCTTAGTTGTGGGTGGGCATAGCCCAGCATTCCATGCGGGAGTCAAACCGGCAACCTTCGACAACCTTGTTGTTAGGAGCACGTACTCTTACCAGCTGAGCCATCCTGCCACCTGTTGGCAGCTCAACAGCAGCTCAGCTTGGGCACAGCTCACTGGCGCATGTGGGAATCGAACCCGTGACCCTGTTGCTCTGAGCTTGTGTTCTTAACCAACTAAGCCAGAAATTACATGTTTTTATTTTCAATTGAAATTTATTTGAACAAGCAAGGCACCAATTGTTAATGCTTTTGTGTTTAGAGGCTGTGTTTGGCTGTTTAAAGAGAATATATTGACTCCTTTTTCATTTTATGTTCCCTTTTGAAGTTTCACCAGTTTTAGAACATTTTGAATTTAAAGCTTTAATTAAAATTTATAAAGCAAATATTTCATGAATTGGTTATTCTAAACAATCATAGTTGCCCATAGATATGTAGAAATGACACAAAATAGTTCAGTTCTTTTCATAAGTGCCAAAATTGGCTTTCTTAGGATGTTTAAACTGATAGTTGCTGTCCCCACCTAATACAGATATGTCTGTATTGGTCATTTTACAGCCCCAATAATAACAAAGTCCACAAAGCCTCAGAATAGGATATGACCAATGAGAATTCACTATTAGGAATTCTGCACAAATTTAAGTTTTCCAAGAGGCTATTTTCTTCAGTGGAAATCATGAAGTCAGTGACATATCTTGAGTGAAACTTGAATATATGGATGTGTTATCCATAATAAATGCACATTTTTTT